GCCCCAGCCCCAGTTGGGCACCACTGGGTAGAGCCACGGGGAACTCACCTTTTCTCCAGAGCTGCTGGGGGAGCTGCTCAGCCGCCGGCTCAGCTCGCAGCTCAGGGCCTTGGTCCAGGCCTCATCCTCCACGATGTCCAGCGATGCCCTCAGGAACTGTTGGAGAACAGGAAAAGTCAATGTTTCCTTGTCCTTTGTCTCTTCCCACGTTCCCAAGTTACTGCACACTTCTGGGGACAGGTGCCTGGAAGAACAGCCCCTCTCCCAGCTCCCCCCAGCATTCCCTCCCTTAAAGCTGCCTGCCGCTCCTCTCCTAAGACCCCCCTTGGGCTTGGGACAAGGAGGAAGAGGCAGCGCCACAGAGGTGTGCAGCTGCTCCACAGTAGCTTTTGAAAGGCTGTTCCTGTCCCGTGGTAGCTCATATGGGAGCAGGGCTCCTTGTGGCAGGCAAGCACTTCTCTGCACTGTGTCTTCCCGCAATGCTGTACCTTTAGCAGATGGTGATCCCACTCTGCAGAATCCGGGAAGCTCTCATCTTTCCCTGCACAGCAATAAGAAGCAAAAGAGCCTTGCTTGGAATCGAGTCACAAAAGAAGAGCTGCAGCAAACCTGGCTTGGCCTGGGCACTTGCCCACTCCACCTCTCCCCCCCCACCAGTACTTTACCTTCAAGACGCTGCAGCAGGAGGGGAATCTCAGCAGCCCACATGGCCCCCACCGCTCTGTGGATCTTGCTGTGGAGGTTTTGCATGAGCAGCAAGGCAGCGGCTTGGAGTTCGCTGCCTGCAAAAGGGCTCCCTGCCACCACCTGAGCAAGAGCAAGGAGAAACTGGGTCACTTCTGAAGCAAGAGAAGCGGCTTGCCCCAGGAGGGAAGCAGCTTGGCTCTGCCCTGATGGGCAAGGAGCAGCCAACAGCTTTGCCCATGACATTGCAAGCTAGAGAAGAGAACGGCATCCCCAGGAGTGAAGCAGGTGCTGGCACGCTCGGCCATGCTGTTTCCTCCTTGGGGCTTGTGGTATCGGCTTCTGGAGCATCTACTTACCAGCAGACGTGCCAGCAGTATCTGGGGAGTCAGCAGTGGGCCTGCAGGGAGAAAGAAGTGCTGAGTAAGACTCCAAGACACTCCATGCCCTGCCACACGTACCTCCGCTCTCCCTTCTGGGTGCTAACATGGGTCAGCAGAGCTCACGGGGGGAGTCTCTCCTCCTACCTTGAAACATGGAGCTGAGGAAATGGGGATCCAGTTCTTCCACGTCCTGCACTGTCAGATCCCCTCTCTCAGCCAGGGCTTGGACACAACGGGAGATTGGAATCATCATGCCGGTGTACTCGGCTGGCACCACGTACAGCAGCAGCCGCGGCCACAGGAGCTGTAGGGAATGAGGCAGTTGAGCGTGTCAGCATTTCTGCCTCC